GTCGCAACACACGCACGCGCGCGCCACGCCTAGTGGCAACGCTGTTTTTTCATGTGTCCTAGCTTTCGGATACCCTGGGCACGATCGTTAGTCCTCTCCCAACCTGGTACCCCAGCAACTGGCCCTCCAGGCCTGCCCTGAAACCACAATCCCAAATCGTCCAGGGTGCCCTGTGCTTGCTGGGATTCTACAAAGGCCTTGTCGCTAATCTCTGGATTCTGAGCATCCTTTGCGTTGCACCTGGGGTACCTGAGGGGCGGTTTAGCTTCCAAATACCTCCGCCCCTTGATAAGGTTAACAAACGACCAAGGGCCTAAAGCGCTCAGCATTTGAGACGCAGCCCTTTTAGTAGAGACTGGCTTCCTATGCCTAATATTTTCTCACTGAAGAATCATTTTTCGGTTATCTTCTGGAAGCCTCTGCTTCCTGAGGTTCTGTCCTGTGGCCAGGCCACAAGGCCAGCCATTCCAACTTCCAGAGGGGCCTTGCTGCTGCTGTCACCAGGAGGAGCAGGTCTGCTGCTACCACCTTCGAAATTCAGTGTGGCCCCTAACGTGCTTGACCAATGACGAGTGACCTGTATCCTTCCAGGGCCAACATTTTAGGGGCTAGAATCCACCTACCCATTTATACCTCCTTAGCTAAGGGGGAGTCCACCTCTTGGGGAGGTCAATCAATGCAGCCACCTGCCAACCCTCTTGGACACAGAGATCAAGGAAGACAGCAGCAGAACCTGGGTTGACCTGACTGACCACATAGCACAAGCCTACTTGTCTGACCTGCTTGTGGAGATAGGCTCCTGGCCTTTTTCTACTGAGCTCTTAACAATTGTCATTGCCACTGCAGGATTTGAAGGGGCCAGGTGCAACACCTGCACTAAAGAGGTGCTCTGAGTATACCACGCAGAGGCAGTGGCAAAAGTTTGGAGTACAGGGATGAGGGTGAAGCAGGCAAAATACCTCCTTCCTAGAACATCAGAAACCTCAGGAACTTCCCCTGGAACAACCTCTGACTACTTTACCACTCAGACCTCAGAACATGCCTGAAAAGAAATAAAAGGAACAAATACCCCTACCCCCCACTGCACACAGGCAAAGACACAGAGGGAGCAAGAGAATTAAACTTCTCTTAATTCTCTTAAGGGGGCAGGGGATATTAACTAAAGAAGATAAAGACTAAAGAAGCTAGCTGGAGATGCTACAGTGAAGGTTAGAGAGGCTGAGCCCTTGCAGTTAAGAGGGGCCATGGCAGGTGGGTGCCAGAGGAGGACTTCTATGTCTGAATACAGAACAACAGAATCCTGGTGCCACCAACCATGTCCCTGTCCTGGGGCATTTGGGGTTGGACAGCCCCAGATGTGTTCCTGGCTCTGGAACACCAGGTGCAGTAGAAGACAGAGTGAGGGGGCTAGAGGGATTCATGGGAACCCTGCATGCTAAGCTAGGAGACCCTCCATCCACACCCCTGCCAAAGGCCCAAACCCAAGTTGGATGCCAGCCCCCACGTCAGGAAACAGAATCTTCTATAAGTAAATTGAGCACCTCTCGAAGGAATACTGGGTCCTAAGATTTGTGGCTCCTCTGCAGGCTTTAGGAGGAAAGGACCAGTTAGCCAAGAAGCCCTGCATCTGGCCTGTTGGCTCAGAGCATAAATCTCTGCATGGATGCTCCCATACCAGGCTGAGTGAAGGGTACAGTGCATGGACACAAGACAGGAATTGTTGTACCCAAGAACATTCCATGCCAAGCATCCTACAGTGGAGATCTTGACATTCTAGGAGGCTGGCCTCCTAGACTGGAGCTAGGGTTAACCATGAATGGAAAAGGATCAGCTAGGCCAACGAAGGGCTCTTGTGCTCCTCAACATCCCAGAGGGTTTCAGTCTTGACAACATAAGCTCTTAAGTTCAAAAATCTCATCTGAATATTTTCAGCCCCAAAGTCGCAAGGCTCATGATCAAATCAGGTACAGCCTCCCCTTATCTGCAGTTCTATTTTCTATGGTTTGAATTACCCTCAGTAAATTGCTGTCTGAAAACATGACACAGAAAATTCCAGAAAGAATTCACATGTTTGAAATTGCACATCATTCTTAGTAGTGTGAAATCTCTCACTGTCTCACTCTAACTTTCTCAGGACTTGAATCTCCTTTGTCTAATGTTTCCATGCAAAATAAGCTCCCCACTCTTTAGTCACCTACTAGCTATCTAACTGAGATTAACTACTGAGCATCATGGTGTTTGTATTTCTTATTTTACTTAATAATGGCCCCAAAGTGCAAGTGTAGTGATGCTAGCAATTTGGATATGCCAAAAAGAAGCTGTAAAGTGCTTCCTTTAATTGAAATGGTGAAAGTCCTCAACTTAATAAGAAAATTGTATACTGAGATTGCTCAGATCTATGTGCATGAACAAATCTATCTATAAAATTGAGGGGGGAAAATCTATGCTAGTTTTGCTGTTGCACCTCAAACTGCAAAGCTTACCACCACAGTGTGTGATAAGTGCTTAGTTAAGAAGGAACAGGCATTAAATGTATGTACGTAGAGTTGGGTACGTCTTCAATTTCAGATATCCACTGGGGGTTTCTTGTGATATATTGCCCTCAAATAAAGGATGGCTCTGTGGGTGAGGTTCTGAGTGAGATCCATTCTGAGACAAAATCCCTCATCTGTAGACCTGGAAACTAGAATGAGTTATCTGCCTCCAAGCTACAAGGGTGGTGGTACAGGCACAGGCTAAATGTTTCCATCCCAAAGGGAGAAATAATAAGGAGTAAAGAAACTGCCTGTCCCAAGTAAGTTTGAATGCAAGGAAAATTCCATCAGATTTCAAGCCTGATAAGACTGTTCTGTGCTCTGTGCCCAACCCTCTAGGCCCATGGAACCCTCAGTGGTCTAGACTTTCCTTAGAGCTGTTCTCCCTTTTTCGTGAAGGACAGTACACATGTGCAACAGAGTAGTTCCAGACAATTTTGTACTTAAAGAATCTTGGAAATCTTACAGCTCTCCTCACTTTGTCCTGAATCTGTTCCTTTCAGTCCAAACTGGTTCCCTCTGTGCAGATACAACTTTCTCAAAAACTATGTCAGTCTCCTAGGCAAGTGAGGAGGGTCCGCCTCAGATCTTCCTGGATATTCCTTCTCTACTTCAGTCTTATGCTGAAGAAAATGAGTGGATTCATGACAGTCTACTCTCTTCAGAAAAAGATTGTTCAGGCACACCCTCACCTCTATTTAGGACATGTTTTTCCAAAATGGATTTCCTAATTTTATCATCTTTTGTTACCTTAGTAGCCCAAGAGCCTCCCAAATAATTAAGTGCTAGTTTGTTTTGTGAATCAAATATCCTTACTTTATCTCTTTCCTCTCACATTTTATGATAAGCAGCAAGAAGACACCAGCCCTCAACTTTAGCACTTTGCTTAGAAATCTTAGCTAAATACCCAACTCTGTCACTCGCAAGTTGTGCCTTCCATTCAACAGTAGAACATAATTCAGTGTAGTTTTCTGCCACTTTATAACAGGGCAACTTTTCTTCCAGTTCCTAATAATGCATTCCTCATTTCTGTTTCCTGGCCAGAAGCATGTTTATAGCTCATATTCCTCCTAGCCATCTTTCCAAGCCTTTCAAATGTTTGAATGAAGCTCATCTGGATTATCAAGGATCATGTCCCTCTCTTAAAGTCCACTGGTTGTGGACCATTCCTACAATACCTAGATTTGTATTTGACAAAGAAACTTCTAGACAATTGACTAAAACCAACCACTACCTGTTAAAGGAACAAAATGCATGGGGAGGGAATATTAGCTTGTGATTCAGGTGGAGGCATTTGGGAAGACACAGGGGAGGCCAAGAACTTTAAGACCCCAATTTCCCTTTCCATAGAAGCACCCTTATCTTTGAGGGAATCAGCCATACTCTGCATCAAGCTTCATTCTCAACACCCTCATCTCTCAGGCAATGAGAGTGTCAGGTGGTCAGATGTCAAGAAAGCACGGATGCGCAAGAACAACTCGCTCTGGGGTGATACAGCCTTTATTCAAAAAAGATAGCGAACCTTACTTGTCGTATCCAAGCACAGGTGTAGAAGTAGATTCTGGTTGCATTAATCCAGGAAGAAGATCAAGTGCATTGCCATGAGCACTCAAACCAGGTTTAGGATATTGACTCAGGCCTTGGAAGGAGCATTAGTCATCAGCTATACTGCTTAATGGAAGTCTGGACTCCTTGAGAGGCAGCAGTTTATGAAGTGAAGTCAGAAATTCCCAGGCCACTGTGAGACTGGATTCTCAATGAGTAGTCCCATTGTTCCCTAAGAAGTTGTTAGAAAAGCAGAATCTTAGACTGATCCCTAGATCTGAGAAGTCAGAATATGCTTTGGGGGGTGGATACTGGGGATTGAACTCAGGACCTTGCACTTGTGAAGCAGGCTTAGTGCCACTGAGCTAAATCTCCGGCCCAAGAATATGCATTTCTAAAAATCCTTAGGTGAAAAAATAATTAAATTTGCTCATGACATAAACTAGAAGCTAAAAAATAAATAAAATAAAAATCCTTAGGTGATTATTTGCATATTATGTTTGGAAAACATACCAAAAGAAGGAGGCCAAGGTTCAAGGAGACAGGAACAGAGGAATGGACCAACTCCAGCCCTGCCCTCCCTCTCAGAGTGAGTACACACTCCCCATTGCCTCTTTCCTTATCATTCTGGGGAGGTGCTCTCCAGTAGTCTCTGTAGACTAGAAATGACCGTGGGGTACTGAAGTGTACAGTGGGAGTAGTGATGTCCAAGGGGAGGGATAAGATGGAAGCTCCTAATTGACAGCAACAAACCACCACCATAAGACTACCAGAGAGACTTGAATAGATTTCTGACTCACAGGGATCTTTGGCAACACCTGATTGACCAGGGGGTCTCTAGAAATGAGTCTGACAATAGGTCTGGTGGTGGAAACCTAACTTGTGGCACTGTAGGAACATCCACAGACAATCCTACCTGATTCTCAGGTTGAAGCCGGTTCACAGCCTGAGATCTCTCAGCTGTAAGAGCAGCCAGTTCTTCTGAAGAAGGCCCTGCAATGCAGCCACAATGAACACCATGAAGACCTCTGCCAGAGGGACCTGCAGCCATTATCCGGATTACCTGGACTAGGGTTTTAGATAAGAGGCTCTGAGCTGTTTCCCAGAGAACCAACATGCCACTGTGGCCCTCAGAGTCAGGACTTTTGGAAGTCAGGTGAGAGTTCAATTCCATCTCACAGTGGGTGTAGTGGGACCACACACCCTCCTTTGGCTTCCCTCTCCCCATCTCAGAATAATCATGCTTAGTAACTGACACATTCCCACATGTGGAGAGGAAAGTGATGGAAGGAGGGTAGAAATGGAGGTCCCTATAATTTCAGCCTCCCTTGCCCTAGGTGGTTAGCAGCCGCCTAGGCACTGACCTCTGCCTTTAAAAAACTCTTTTTGAGCTGGGCGTGGTGGTGCACACCTGTAATCCCAGCACTTGGGAGTCTGAGGCAGGAGGATCGCTGTGAGTTCGAGACCAGCCTGGGCTGCATAGTGAGTTCCAGGTCAGTCTCAACTACATAGTGAGACCCTGTCTCAAAAAACTAAA